AGAAATTAGGAGGGGGGAAAGAGAAATTAGGAGGGGGAGAGAAATTGAAATTAGGAGGGGGGGGTAGAGAAATTAGGAGGGGGAAGAGATATTAGGAGGGGGGAAAGAGAAATTAGGAGGGGGGGTGAGAAAGAGAAATTGGGAGGAGGAGAAGGAAATTGGAGCGGGAGGAGAGATTGACATTCATCACATACACACAATGCACCCTTTGCACACAGAAAAACACACAATGCATTACACACACAGACACATGCACAAGCAATGCAACCGTTACACACAATGCATCCCTTACACACACAGAAACACACAATGCATTCATTACACACACTCAATGCACCCATTACACACATTCAATGCATCCCATACATACACAGAAACACACCTTGCAGCCCTTACACATACAAACACAATTTCACACAAAGCATTCCTTACACACATATCAGGACATCCCTTACACACTCCACCCCTGTGAACAAACTCCACAGGGAACATGAAGGTGGGACCCTGGGCCCAGACCTTGAGCTGCGCGACCCCAAAAATGGAGCTGCTTCCCGCTCTCCCAGAACATTACTTTGTGACCACAGAGAGCCTGTTCTGCACCAGACCAGTGGAGCCAGACTGCAGCTAGAGCCCATCATCATCCTCATCTGGTTGTAAGTAGCAATCTAGTAGTATTATTCGGCACTAAGCTCTTAATTCTACCTCACATTAAAGAACATTCATAGCCCCAGAACCACTTCAGCTTAATGTAGTGGTTCTGGTGTCTATAGCCTGTCCCTGCAGGCCTTTTAATGTAAACACAGCGGCACTGCAGCACTGGCGTTAGTTAACATGGCAAATCATATGGGTGGGGCATTGTGATGTCACATAGGGGGCGGCAAACTTTACTTTTGCCTAGGGCGGCAAAAATCCTTGCACCGGCCCTGGCTGGAGGGGGCTGTGTGAGCTGTAGCCGCACAGTGTCCCATGGTAGTTAGGGTGCCGTGCGGCCAGTACAGCTCACACAAGCAAACAGCTGATAAACTGGCCGCACGGAGGAAATGTGTATGTGTGACTGTCTGCCTGTGACTGTATGTGACTGTCTGCCTGTAACTGAGTGTGTGACTGTCTGTAACTGGGTGTGTGACTGTCTGCCTGTAAATGTGTGTGTGGGGCTGCAGGGATTTTGTAGAAGGGGGCGGGGGTTTTGTATTGGGACAGGAGTCTTTATAAGGGGGGATAAGCAGGGGATTTGTGGAAGTGGGTTGTAGGGGTTTTGTAGACGGGCAGTACAGGATTTGTAGAAGGGGCAGGACAGAGGTTTTGTAGGAGGGGCCGGGCAGGACAAGGGTTTTGTAGGAGGGGCTGACAGCGGTTTTGCAAAGTTTACAAATTGTAAAAAAAAAAAGAGAACCTTTAAAAAATTTTACAGGTTTTTTTTTGGGGGGGGATGCCAAGCACAGGATCCGCCCCGGGTGCCAAATGCTCTAGGTAGGCCCCTGCGTATACCATATTTTTCTATATTTTTCTATTGGTGGACAGTAAAGAAAGGGATATGCAATGCTCACCTCCGTGTCTAATAAAATCATGACTTTTCATCATGTAATTATATAATATTGCACTTCCTGTGAATTGAGCAGTCAAGTAATGATACAACAGTATCAACAATAACCATACCAGTTTTGGGGGCATGGCTTGGCAGCCGAAGAATATGGCAGCATAAACTTTCCCTCCGCTGCCCAAAGCAAGATCAAAGCAAGCCCCACAAACCGGGAAGACCCCAGATACCAAGAAGGGACAGCTCACCTCGTCCCTGTGCCAGTTCCTGGTGACCCTTGCGGACTTCACAACACAGCCGCATGGCGCCGACGGCTCAATGGTGTCTGAGGATTCCGCGGCTTCCTCTCCGGCATCCGACCTGCAAACGGGAGGCACTGAATGTCCCCCATGGCTAGATCTCCTGAGGGCCTTGCCTACAAAAAAAGACCTCCGCTCTGCCACCTCTGAGCTGGGAGTTACGATCTGGCAGGACATCCAAGCACTGAGAGCAGATATGCAGGGCCTGTCTGACCGTGTGAGCCACGTGGAGGCTGCTTGTGACAGCCTGAGAGCAACCCATACTACCTTAGCAGAAGATGCAAACACCTGCTCTGAACAGGTACGTGGCATGGCCCTACACATAGAGGATTTAGACAACAGGGGGCGCCGCAATAACATTAGGCTGCGTAGACTCCCTGAAACCGAAGACTCCCCTCTCCAACTGCGGGAAAGCCTCCTGGAAATTTTTAATGGGCTGCTGGGCCGTGATCTCCAGGTGCCAATAGACTTTGTGAGAGCACATAGAGCTCTCCGTCCAAAGGGCCCACCAGATAGCCAACCCAGCGATGTTATTTGCTGCTTGGCGAACTTTGCCTTAAAGGAGACCATCCTTAAACAAGCAAGGGAACAACATACGCTCACTTACCAGAACCAAGACCTGCAACTATTCCCGGACTTGTCGCCGGCTACCCTGACCTAGCGACGTGCCCTGAAAACGCTCACGAGAGTACTGGTTACTCAACAGATCCGGTACAGATGGCAGATGCCCACGGGATTGCTGGTTCCCACACCGAGAGGTCCATTCCTGGTCCGCACACACAGCGACTACATAGCGCTGGGCACGGAGCTCCAACTACCCGCTATCAACATGAGGTGGCCAGACCCATTGGACACCTACAACGCCGCAAGAAACCCCTGCCCAAGACTGGCTCTGATGCCAGGAGGCCACTAGACCCTCAGGTACTGCCCGCTAGTGGGCATGACCACCTCACCCCCGCACCAGGCTGGCCTTCTCTAGCGCAGGAAGTGCCTCAACCTGACATGGACACTGTCCCCACCCTCAGGTACAATTTTGGCCGACCGTCATATTGGACATCTCACACTTGCACCTAAAAAACAATATATATATATATATATATATATATATATATATATATATATATATATATATATATAGAGAGAGAGAGAGAGAGAGAGAGAGAGAAAAGAAGGAATAAGGGTGTGCCTAAAACAAGTGGAATAATAATATTAAAAATGTTAGAGAATACGAGCAGTGATACCTAATAGTCCGAACATAAATAGTCCAAATATGCAGGTGGTAATCCTAGTAGTACATAAAATGGTATGTAAAGTCCCAGATATATATCCGCAACTTCGAAATGGATATGTGGAAAAAAACAGAAGACAAAGGAAACTCCAATGGTATAGTATGAACGGTAATTAATATTGTGTATATAATAGTAGAACTACTCACAATATTCAGAGCTTAAATCCAGCTCTGGTATGAATGGCACGAAGTGGAATAATTCCCACTCAAGGATATATGGTGCTCCTCTTTTGTTCTTTGGTAGAATAAATTGGTGGAGTAGTCCAGCTCGGGATAAAAGGATAAAATATATAGTGCTCACTGTATAGTTGATAAAATGTTGAAACAGAATAAAATATACTCACAGTATATGGAGCAGAAGTACTGCTCTGTGGATGGCGTATGGGTGGTGTAATCCCCCCTTAGGATTCTTGGTACTCCAATATAGACAAAAAGGCAGTAGTAGTTAGGTCTGGATAAAATAAAATAAACTTGTAAACAATTGCTAAATATTGCTAAAAGAAGAAAATATAATATAATACTATAGTGGAAAGAGGAATGTGGCAACCAAATGTAGAATAGCCAAATATTCCTTTATTAACACTTGGATTATATAAAAAAGTTTCTATACGCATTTCGCCACAATAGGCTTCATCAAGTAGAAACTTATAAAAAAAAAAGAAGAAAAACAGACCTAACAAATAGCACTTATATAAGAAACATGAAAATTGCACAAATAAATTGAAATTCCTGCCAAAATGACGTCACCAGCATCATGGGAGGGGATACAGTTCAATAGATATGTGTAAAGTATAAAAAGTCATTTTGGGCATATTTAAGATATTATAAAATGAGAAATTATTTGTAATAAAATATTCGAAAACGAGGCTTTACAGTATCAAAAATTATTCTACAGCCACAACCCAGACGGGAAATCCAAGGGGGCAGCAATAGTCATGCATAAATCCATACCCTTTGTGGCTGACTACCATGACAGACCACGCGGGCTGATATGTATTCGTCAGGGGTCGAATCCTGGACGAAACCTATACGTTTGCCAACATTTACACTCCAAATACGCGACAGGACAAATTCCTGCGGAACGCACTCCGCGTGCTTCATGACTGGCTGTCTGGTACTAGGGGGGGGGACCTCAATATTGCCCTGCATCCGACAGTGGACGCATCCAGAGGCGACTCATCGACACCTCTTCCCACGTTGCACAAATTACGCAAACTCCTCCACCAGTACAGACTTACGAACTGCTGGAGGGCGACATCCGACAGACAGGGACTACACTTTCTATTTGGCCCCAAACAACTGTTACACACGCATAGACTATTTTTTCCTTCCATACTATTACCTACCCAGACTACGGGACTCTGCCATAGGGGGGACGATGTGGTCAGACCATGCACCACTCACGATACAACTAACATCACCACTATTCAAGCCTAAAACTACTACATGGCGGCTCCACGAAAACCTATCTAACCCGCAGGTGGCCCAAGACATCCAACAAACCTTGACAAACTACTTCCCCGTGAACCCACCACAAGACACATCACCCCTCCTGACATGGGAGGCTCACAAATGTGTGATCTGAGAGATCCTTATCTTGCACTCCTCTGCCCTGAAAAAGGCAGGGGAACACACGATCTGAGAACTAACCACCAAGATAGGGAACCTGACACAGGCACACAAACACTGGATGACACACTCCTAGGGGAACTCACAGTAGCACATGAAGAATTAGCACGGGTCCTGCGACAATCGTACACTAAGGCCCTTCAACACACCAAATCACTTTTCCACGCGGAGGGAGACAAATGTGTCAGGTTACTTGCTAGAATGAGCAACAAAGAGCGCTCCATGACATTGCCCGCATGCACGATACCTCGGGCCAGCTATGACACATGCCAGACCAAATAGCCACAGCACTAACACGCTTTTATACAGACCTATATGCACTCCCCTCACACACCCCCCGAGCTGACCTGAAATCGGGGTATCTCGCATAAGTTCATACCTTACTAAATACACAAAAGCCAAACTTTCCTCGGACGCAGCGGAAGCCCTGGAGGCACCACTCACTGAGGGGGAACTGGCCCTTGCCATCAAAACCTGAAAGATGGGCAAAAGCCCAGGCCCGGATGGCCTCCCTCTCAAATACTACAAAGCCTTTTCGGCAACCTTGTCCCCCCAATTTATCTCGGCCTTCAACTCCATACCAGAGGGAAATGCAATCCCTCAGCAGACATTGGCGGCCAACATCACCCGGTTACCAAAGGAGGGGGGAGATGCCGAATGGTGCACTGGCTATCGGCCCATCTCGTTGCTTAGTTGCGACCTACGCTTATTTGCCAAAATACTAGCAGCGAGGTTGGGTCTACACATACCAGACTTGATCTCCCCTGATCAGGTAGGATTCATCCCACACAGAGAAGCCAGGGAGAACACAGTACGAGCCCTGTCCCTGATACACCACGCACAACGCACCGATGAGGGCCTTCTCCTCTCCACCGATGCGGAGACGGTCTTCGACAGGGTAGCGTGGGACTACCTCTTCTCGGTCTTGGAGCACATTGGCCTGGGGAACCATATGCGTCAGTGGATAGTCTCTTTACTCATCTCCCGGCTAGGGTGTGCATAAACTGGGTCTATATGGACGCATTCCCGGTCAGAAACGGAACCAGGCAGGGCTGCCCCCTTTCACCACTCTTATTCATCCTGGCCCTCGAACCCATCCTACAAGCAGTTAGGGACAACCCAGAAATCCCAAACCTCATGGCAGAATTTAAGACATGGCCAAATCGCCAACCTTAAGATCAATTATGCGAAATCTTCTATCCTCAACATTGGCACCCTCCGGAGGAGGGCAGACCAGATCAGACGAAATTTCCCCTTTCAATGGCAGGATACCGCTATTAAATACTTGGGAGTGAGGCTCACGGCCGACCTGTCCAAACTATACCACACAAATTCTATCCCATTGCTGGGAGCTATACGGAAGAATGGGCCACACCCCACTTTTCCTGGCTCGGTAGGGTGGCCATTGCCAAAATGAACATCCTTCTACGGGTACTTTACCTGTTTCAAACCCTACCAATCCCACTCCCCACTGCCTTCTTCTCATCAATCCATACCCGCCTCATCAAATTTATCTGGAAAGGCACTAAACCCAGACTCAAATACACACAACTTACACTCCCCAAAACAGCAGGAGGCCTGGCCGTCCCTGACCTCAAACTGTATTACCAAGCATGCCACATGCAACGGGCCCTGGAATGGGCAAAGGAGGGGATATGCAAACCCTGGAAGGCCATCAAAGCCCATCACGTGGGCCGCCCTCTCAGCCCTCCTGTGGCTTGACCCCACCATTGGCAGACGGCTAGTCTCCCAACAACCGTCTACAGCCACTCTATATGGCACTCACAAGCAAGGAAACGGTCTCTCCTCCTTCCCATCCCCACTACTACCCCTGGCGTACAACCCTGATTTCGAACCAGGGATGAGACCAGGTAACCTCCGCTGCGTCCTCCCACAAGACATACCCAGACTCCGAGACATAACCACTAACAGGAAAATCCTGCCACTACAGACACTCACGGGCACATCCAATCACACCTTCATGACGGGCTTTAGATACACCCAAATTAAGAACTACATTGCCACTATACCCCAACGCCCTGACATCCATAGGGACCTCACGCCATTCGAACAACTGTGCCAGAATCTGGATTCTATGCCCCACAGCATCTCCTACCTCTACTCAATGCTACAACGACAACAGGGGCACCCCCACCCCCTTTCATGTCCAAATGGGAAACCGCCATAGGGGAAACACTCACGAGAACCAGTGGCACAAGATCTGTGATCTGGTACACCATTGCACAATTGCTAGCAAAACCCAGGAAACTGCCTATAAGGTTCTTACGCAATGGTACCGGACACCGGAACGCCTACAGAGAATGCACATAGACACGGATGGCCTCTGCTGGAGGTGCGGGATCCTTCCTCCACATTTGGTGGGAATGCCCACTCATAGTACCGTTCTGGGAAAAAATAGCCTCCATAGTGGCCCTGTTCACAGACAACACACCACCCTTTAAACCAGCCTCCTGCACCACACGACAACCCCTACACCACGATACAAATGCTCCCTGACCATTCGAATCCTGAATGTTGCAAAACACCTAATACCCCTGTACTGGAAAAAGGACACAATCCCAACGCTTTCCCTCTGGTTTACCAAAATGGAGGAATTGTGAGTTACAGAGGAGCTCTGGTACACAACCCAAGACCGAGCACAGACACACAGACACACGGACGCCCTGGCTAGTGCGAGTGGGCACAGAGGCGTTTCGGACCATGTATCTGACCATGGGGGGTGGGACTGTCAACCCCCAGCAGGGGACACAGGGAGACTAACTGGACGACCCATACCCGCTTCCAGTGTACGGCACCCCACCGCACCGCCCCACTCCGCCCTCTAACCCCCACCCCCCGACAGGTCCTGTGCGGAGCGTGTGCCGTGGAGCCCGGGGCGTGTCCCAGAAACTGACCCCACGGGGGCATATCGGGGTGCACAAGAGGCAGAGCGCATGCCCAGCCAGATTGCTGAGGTTACACCACTATACCAGTCAGGGTGTAGTCGTCTGCAACACCTAAAATGGCTTATGGCCAAATCCCTATGTTATCTTCATCAACACTGTACGTAGGGCAAAACAGATTCTGATAAAATCATTGTGGGGAGGCAACACCTCATTGCACCGTCACATAGGACACTAGGTACGATACCACCGGGGACCTGCGTGTGTAGAGGGGATCCTGAACAAATGGAGACCTGCAAGTCTCACTAACACTTAATGGTCCTGAAGTGGGTGCTGGAAAAGGGAAAAGAAAGGTACAGAAGTGAACCTTCGGGATCTAAAACCCAACCCAATGTAAACATGGTACCCATCAGACGTAAAAGAGTACTGCTTATATACGCCTATGTACCATTGTGCACGTTATACATCTCATAATGCGACCTGCGAGCCGCTACCGCATACCCATAGGATTGTACCTTACAGTGTATATGCGATTACAAGTAAACAAGGGGACCTGCGCATCCACGTTGAAATATTGTGTGTTGAAAAATATTCAATAAAAACATATTTACAAAAAAAAAAAAAAAACATTCCAGTTTTATACGTGTGACAAACTACCCTTCACCACTGGCTTTTGGAGGGACCCGATTACCAGCCTCCTGCCCTGTGATTATGGCCCTTTGTAATTTAGTGTCTGTGAAGAAATGACTCGGTTAATCAGGATTTCTACCTTTTGTTGTACAGTTAATTCACCAAAACCCAGCTGGAATTCGGCATATAGCTTTCATTTCTACCCTTCGGATGGATTCAGGCGAATTCCCTGTGTAAAATATAGATGGCCGCCATTTCGGCACTTTACACGTGGCCGCGGCCATTTTACGTGCGAACAGCGGTGTTTGCCCGTCGACGCGTGGAACTAAAATCGGATACGCAAACAGGCGAACACCGCTGAGACCTCCATACATCCAGAACTTCGCACGGGAACGACCGAATCACCGGCCGTTCGGTAGTTACATGCAACTTCGTATGGGGATTTCAACGATCACAAAGATGCGAATGGATGGCAGGGCTTTCGTCTCTTTTATTCGCCTAAACGGAGACCGACCGCAGGGCCAAAACTTATGGAACTATTTTCGGCTAGATGGTCCGTGCGGTCGGTCAAAACTTTAGTGTTCCATAACTCCCGAACCATTCATCCGAATGGACTGATTTTTTGATATGTTGTCCCCACAAATGAGAACTATCCAGCGGTACCCAATTTAAAGGTGTACCCCCTGTTTTTGGGGTACATCCAGAACTGTGGTAAAATAGTGCACGTTTTAATTAAGTTAACTGTTTATCAGAGGGGAGGGAGGGATGGGCTGTAACCTATACCTGATTGGTGATTTAATGCCTCCCCCTGGGTGTGTACTTCTTGTCTGTAACCTTAATAAAAAGCAGGCTGGAGATTCCAGACCTCAGATCTACTTGTATCCTGATTCTGGACTCTGACTGTTATTTGGGAATTCGTATGCTTTACCAAGGGGATTATCTTGGGAAGCTGTTATATTTCTTATGGACTTCATTGCTTAGAACTACCTTAGACGCTGGCATTGCAGGAGGAATTATCAAAGCGGTTCAGCTATACTTGATTTCCTTACAACTGGCGGCAAGCGGAGGGATTCGAATCCCAAATGGACATTTCAAAACAAGCAAAGGAATGAATGGCTCAGCAGTACCAGCTACTTAAAAGAACCTCGCTAAAGGACTTACTGGAAGCTCGAGGCAGAGTGGCAAGTAACAAAACAAAAGCCACGTTAATTGCGGAGCTAATGCAGAGCGATAATACCAGTAATATAGAGATGGATCAAGAGGAAGAAACCGTGATGCAAAAGGACATCCGATGGACACTCAGTTTATTGGGACCCAATCCATCCTCAGAGGCAATACTGCAGGTCGTAGCACAAGCCAGACAAGCGCAAAAAGAGCGAGATGACCGGGACAGATCGTCACAGGGGGATTTGCTACACTCCCCGAGAAGTATTGGGGAAATACCAAAGAAGGTAAATTATGCAGCGTTTAAATCATTTGTTGACAATGAAATGGAAATTGACAGTTACTTGCAAGACTTTGAACGTCAGTGTGCACTGGAGGGATTAGACTCCACCAAATGGGCTGCAGTCTTCAGCAGTAAATTGTCAGGTAGAGCAGCCGAGGCGCTGCGAGCAGTACCCGAGGGGGACATACATAATTATGAGAAAATAAAAGACATTTTGTTGGCCAGATATGCGGTAACTCCGGAGGCATACCGGAAAAAGTTTAGAGACCTGAGAAAGACTGGGAGAGATTCCCATACGGAATGGGCTTTTCGCTTGCAGCGGGCAGCCCGCAACTGGATGAAGGGCTGCCAGGCAACCACCCTAGAAGAAGCTTTGCAACTAGTGATACTGGAGCAATTTTTTAATCATACTGCAGAGGACATAAAAGACTGGGTAAAAGATAGGAAACCAAAAACTGTGGAGGAGGCCGCTAGGCTAGCGGACGAGTACCAGGATAACAGGAGGAAGGAGCAAGGGGCGAGCAGACCACCATTTAAGCCTCAGTACACAGCTCCAACAAACCCGACTCCACCTAGACCTGCCATAGGTAACCCCCCACCGAACCCAGCAAACACACCGCGACCTCCTGCAGTGTGTCACTACTGCAAGCAACCAGGACATTACAAGTATCAGTGCCCTCGCTTAAACCGGGGAAGCTGGGAACGGCCAGCCCCACAACAACCCAGGGCAGCTACTCACTGTGTGCAACAGGAACACACAGGCCCTGCCCTTAACCACGAAGAACAGTGGAGTGTATTACATGAGGTCAATCCAGTACAAGCTGGGGGGGACAACCGGGACCACCACCGCCAATGGATTACCGTCGATGGCGTGGGGGCCCGGGCGCTGAGAGACTCTGGGGCTACTTTGACTGTGGTACAGCCCCACATGGTCAGAGCACAAGCTCGCACCGGACGCACAGTCGCTGTAAGGGTGGCTGGGGGCGCTATTCACAAACTGCCCACCGCTAATATGCTTGTTGATTGGGGTTCCGGGTCTAAACAACTGGAGGTGGGGATTATGCAAGAACTGCCCGCCGAGGTTTTGTTGGGAAATGATGTGGGATGCCTAACCTCTCAACTAGCCCGAGACCCCCCTGCCAAGGCCTACCCGGTTACCACCCGAGCTCAAGCCAGACTGGAAGCTCCGCTGCACTCTGAGGAAAACCAGGTAAGATTCGAAATACCTCCCTTACCCGATCCCCCCGTACCCTTCTGGGATACCCCCCAGGGGTTTGAACAGGAACAGCGTACTGACCCCCCGCGGCCGCTACCCCCGAGAACAACCCGCACGAAAAATTTGAGTGGTATAAGGGGTTGCTATATAGGGTAACCGAGGGGGTGGGACAGGGGGCTACCCAGGTCATAAAAAGACAGTTAGTTGTGCCCCGTAAATTTCGGGCTGAGTTGTTAAAGCTCAGTCATGACATTCCCCTAGCGGGACATTTAGGGGTCAAAAAGACCAGAGACAGGTTAACGCAAACCTTCTTCTGGCCCAGAGCCACCCAGGACCTTAAGTACTATTGTAGGACCTGTGATGTATGCCAAAGGGTAGGGAAAAGGGGAGACCTTCGGAAGGCTAAGCTGCACCCCCTACCCATCATCGAACAGCCCTTCCACCGAGTAGCGGTGGATTTAATAGGACCCCTCAGTCGCCCCAGCCCGTCGGGCAAAAAGTTTATCCTAACGGTGGTCGACTACGCCACTAGATACCCGGAGGCAGTCGCCCTCACCAATATAGAGGCCGAGAACGTGGCAGAGCTGTGGAGTGCAACCCCTGTTCAGCGCCCCGTATCATCCCCAGACTAACGGGCTCTGTGAACGTTTCAATGGCACTCTAAAACAGATGCTAAAAACTTTTACAGAGTCCCACAAGAATTGGGAAAAATTCCTTCCCCACCTTCTGTTTGCCTACCGTGAGGTGCCCCAGGCCTCCACTGGGTTTTCCCCCTTCGAACTCCTGTACGGGAGAAAAGTTCGGGGCCCACTGGAGCTCGTACGGGAACACTGGGAGGGCAATACAGATGAGGGGGGAGTCCCTATCGTCCAGTATGTCCTGGAGTTCCGGGACCGTCTGCGGGCCCTCACCGAATCGGTTCGGGAGAACCTGCAGGCGGCCCAGGAGGACCAGAAAAAGTGGTACGATAGGAGGGCCCAGGATAGAGTGCTGGACTTAGGGCAGAAGGTACTGGCTCTGAGGCCAGTTAAAAAAGACAAGCTGCAAGCAGCCTGGCAGGGACCCTTTAAGGTAGTGGAACAGGTTAGCGAGACTACCTACATCGTGAGCAAATGCTCAGATGAAAGGCTGACCAAAGCCTTCCATGTGAACATGCTCAAACCCTATTTTGAAAGAACAGAGGAGGTGGGCGCCGTGTGCGCCCCCGCCACAGAGGATAGTGAAGGACTACCCCTTCCTGACTTACTGGATACCACCCCCTGTACTATTGACCAAGTAAGCTTGGGTCAAAATTTAGACCTCCTGGAGAAAGGGGAGGCTACTCAACTGCTGCAGGGATACCGAGAGATGTTTTCCGCTACCCCCGGCTATACCTCCGCTGTGGTACACCGTGTGGAAACCCAGGGAGAGACGCCCCTACGGCAACAGCCATATCGGATCCCAGAAGCAGTACGTGAGAGTATGCTCACCGAGTTAAGGGA